AGATGTTGATCTTGGCCAGGTGAAATGGAAATTTGCAGATGAAACTTTGGGACTTAGTTATGAATTTTAATGTTACAATGAAACATATAGTGAAATTAATTGTGGTCTTAGTCCACATACATACATCACCACACATTTCACATGACCAAAAATTTATCAAGATTTGTCTCCCTTTCACCTACGATTTATGTCCAGAGAGAACTTCAACCAAGCTTTCTTCTGCTTAAATTCTTAGTAAATGTACATGGATTTACAAAACCTTGTATGATATTTTACTTGGGATTTGATGTGAGGTTACTTTACACCAAGTCCTTGGTCTATCTGCATGTAAGGTTGTACATACATGTTATAAATACATACTTTATACATTTTACTACTGGTTGTTCTAACCAAACTGACGTCATCCACTTAAAGGCCTCAAGGCAGAAATAGTGGACGTAAAATCCATTTGATAGATAAATAATGTAAAATTACACTAACATCCTACAATAGCATCGATGACACTGACATTAAGAGGTAAAATAAGTTAAATAGTGCCAACAACGGGTCAGAAATGTTCCAATGTATACTAGCTGTTCTTATTTATCAACCAAAGGAGATATCTCCACACGATATCAGAACTTAACACAAAGTCGTCTAATTTCTAAATGTATAACGATAGTATCAACTATTAAGGTAGCGATGTTTCTAGTGTGATGCTGCATATGTAGGGTAGTTTATTGTAGGAAACAGTTTAGACTTGAAACTAACTCGTTGAAGTTTTGACGATGAAAGAAATCTTTATCATTTTTAAAAATGTTTTAAAAAGAATTGTATAATCAAACTGACATTCATGAAAGCAATATTTTAATCTTTTGACATTTGATATTTAGAAAAAAATATACACAACTACATAATTATATGTCTAAGAGCTTGTAATGTATATTACTAAGTTAGCGTACTACATGGAGCAAAATATGTCATACACAGAATTTTAGTGCCGTGAAATATGATCATATTTTAAACGAGAAAGGTGCAGTTGGTTGGTGGGGAGTTACTTACACGTGTTTCAGCCATTGGAATCTCGTTAAGGTGTTACACGACGGGAGGTTTAAGAGATCAATAACCTGGCATGTTTAAGATCAATCAGATTTTGATAATGATCTTCAAGATAAAGGCACAAAACACAACGGTTTATACTAAATTTCAATATGGCCGCTGATTTTCCTCACAACTTTACCTAAGTCTCGTGACGATGGCGTCATTCATTACATACAATACTATTTATCACAAGTTTCTGATCAAATCTTCCACATTGTTCTGTGGACTATAGGGATCAAACTATTTCTTAAGACAAAACTGTCTACGGTGTTTTCCAGCATCTTCTACAGATAAACCGGAACTGCGTCTTAAATAAAACAACACATCGAACAACATCAAATATAACTTAGAGCTGAAATAAACAAACAAAAGATTAGAGAAAACAATGGAGACATATATTTGACAACCACACAATATAAAATCCATTTTTTGACATGGCCGACGTCATACTCATTTACATTTAGACAAGTTATTTCCATTTCTTCTTACTTTCTCGCAAACGTTAGAATCACGAATCAGAAAATACAATAATGCAGTTTGGATTTCACACAATTTTCCACATTTCTGTATTCTAAATAAATTCCCTGAACACAATCTTCTGATTTTGAACATGAGTGTAGTTTAGTCCAAGTTGGTCGGATTTTTCCATTTCTTTAACTTTCTTATGCAGGAGGTCAGTGACGTGTAGTTGGTGGGTTGCATTCCCGTTTCCACTAAATTCTGTTTATAAGGTTTGTATGGGATGGAGATATATCTAAGATAGTATAGACTGTAAAAAGAGACACAGTGTGATGATCATATAAAAACAATAAAGAAAAAATCTGTTGGGGGGGGGGGGGATATGAACAAAAGAAAATTTAGACGGTCATCTATGAAAAAAGTACATAGAGAACAGGTCCGTGAATGTTCATTGGTGATACTCCCGTGAAAATCTCCCTCACTCCAAATTCAATAATGTGAACCTTATTTGTCTGAGAAGACAATCACCATATTCCTTGTGAGGGAACCCCTCTTTTTTTCTGTGTTTTGACTATCTCATATCTCGATGTGTTGATGCTTTGAAAAACAGACACTACCTCAACAGAAGTCTTCTTACACTCAGGGGACGTATGGTAGAATCCCGAGTGTCACGTGATGGCGATGGTGATCGTGTGATAATGGTATCGGAGAGGCGCAAAGCTTCCTCACGTGACAGAAATCTTAATAACAGGAATATCAAAATGTGCCGAAGAAAAATAAGGATGTGGGATAAGCAGCGATCATACAAGAAAAATATATTAACTGCCAACCTGTCAATTTACTCCAATGAACTAAATATTTTTCTGCTACATGGGCAAGAATTAGCTAATGTAACCCTATGTGTGACATTGCAAGTAAAAAATAAAAATATTCATAAGCCTACAAATTTTGTTTGAAGTATAACTGTAAATGGTGTCTTCCTATGTGTAACAAAAAATCATTTTGAAACTTACTTCCGTTAAGAACAAAGAGAATTAATTAATTTAGAGCATGTAACATTGACACTATTCCCAAACTATGATGGTTCTTTGACCTGTTTAAAGGTTAGTATTAGGTTTGTTTATCTCAAAACATTGTCCATCATCTCGACTTAAAAAATTGCATTTTTTAAATTTATCATGTATTTCAGAAATTCTATGAAAACAGGTTTCCTCTTATTGTTCTGTCAATGTTACGTGCAATTATTAAGTGATAAATATAATCAGAATTATGTTCTTGGTAAACAAGACAATTCTTTTTTCATTGTGTTACTGTCGTATAAAGAAAATTCTATCAATATTATTGCAACCTTCTCATTTCAGTAATAAAGTAGTTACACATATGTTGCATGTAACATGGACACAAAAAAATATGAATCATAAAGCATAAAGCATGCCAGAAATACTATTAAAACATATAAAAAGCCCCCCCCCCCCCCCCCCCCCCCCCCCAATACACTATCTGTATGTAAATTATAATTATACTCCCACATATATCAAATATAATATCGTTTGAGTAGTCGCATGTAACACTGACACCAAAAACGTGCAACTATTTATTTTCGAGTCAAGGATACGTACGGAAATCGTTCCCTCCAAAAAATCGCTATCGTGAGGTCAAACCTGTTTCAAATACCAGATCTACTGGGGTTTTTTTTTGTTAAAAAATACAAAGAAAAAATCACACAACATTATCAAAGATCATATTTTACTCCGAATGTGTGCGTAACACTTTGTTATGTGATCAAAATTACCAGATTCCGTGGTCTCCTCGATTTCTTCTACACCGATAGACGCTATTTTGGAAAACTGCATAGCCACGTGTTAACGTTACTTGGAGCGGATCGTAATATCGCAAAAAAAATATTATCGTTACGCGATCTGTTACAGAAATACAACAAAGAGAGGGGGTATTTCAGGGTAGTTTGGACACGAAAATTAATTATATTTTATTACCTGATATATTTTCCGAACTCCAGTTGATTGATGAAAATTATGACAATCATATCGTACCTTGTGTTGACACTTCGTAAAAAATGTCGTGTCGATGATGCGTTTCCGAATAAATTTACTGAGGGAAACGTGCACGTAACGTTTGTTGACGCGAAAAGTTACGTACATTGGTCTATTTTTTGCAGCATTAATAAAATCCTGTCCAAAGAAAAAGCGTTTTTTATCGATAGACCGATCATTTTGCAGTTGATTAACAACTTTTACAGCACCACAATTCTTCAGGCATTTAATAAATACGACTAGAAGTTTCACTACTGCAGAAATGTCACACTTTTTGCCTATAATCTATCCACTGGCGGCGTACAACTTGTGCTGCTTCCTTGTTATTTAATCAATTAGATAAATTTGTTTTTCATATGACGATAAAAATAAAACAACTTTAATATATAAACAATGTTTATTCTCCATACTTACATGATTTTGTTTGTTTTTTATTGGATAAACTATTTTGACACTTAAATTTCATTAGCGAATTCTTGCCCATATACAAATCACGGAACTTTTGGGATATTAACCGTTTTGAATATGGTAGACTTATTTTTAAGATTGATTGTACAAATATTGTGATAACAATATAAAGACAATGTTGAAAAACGGAAATATTTCATCAAAACCTAGCGAATATCTTGGTGAAACAAATACACACAAAGCAACAAACAAAACACAAAATTCGTCAATTAGCATAATTAATTATCTTCGCCTGACTGCATTCTAAATACATTATAACAATGTGTGTTATGAACCCTATATATGTTACACACGTGTGCCTTTAAATGTTGATGAATTAATCTGTGTATGTACGTGTGTCAACATTGATAGACACGTGTAATGTGCGATGCATTTTAATGAGTTACTTGTTGGGATATCTTGACAACAATCAAATATTCCATGTAACCTTTACACAAATATTGAACCTACCTCCGGTTTCATTAATTTATCTATTTGTGTGTGTTTTTTTTTTTTCCGCTTTTTTAGTTTTTTTTTTCTTTTTCACATGCAATGTATATTTAGTAAGACGATGAACTCCAATTCCTCAATCTTGATCCTGCCTTAACATTCTTAAATGTTTTATTTCAATTTTACTATCAGTCGTAGAAGAATATGATTTAAGTGTGTTGTTAATATAGAGCTATGCATTTAAATTAGTATATGTAATTGTCTTTATGTAAGGGAAGCCTGACATGTAAACTGAGTCACTATTACTTCTATACTATTTAATCATAGCAGTAAAATCGACTTCCAACCATGCATCATGTACACCCCTCTCACTTTACATAAAAAATAGAAGCACGCAACAGAAGCCTTTACTTCGCAACCCAGACGAAAACCCGGAGTTATCTCCCTTCATCTCCGCCAAAACGTATGTCAATTTATCCAGGGTGTGACTCAGCTCTGGTAGCCTCGTTTTCAATTCTCAGCAGAAGCAGACGCCGGCTTTTCTCATTCGAATGATCTCTATGTCAACCATGGCTGCTGTATCAGAGACGACCCGTAAGTACGAATATCGAATTTACTTTTCTAGGCATTCTAAGCGATGGAAAATTACGGAATTTGAACAAATTATTCTGTGAATGTTGTTTTATAAATATGAAAGAAGAAATAACGCCTGTATGAAAAGGTAAGTGAGATTTTTGCTGTTTGATATTAACGGCTGTTAGACGAGATTGTCTATTGAAAAGCTGCAGGGAATCGGCTGCATACTGGAATCGCGGCGGCCGCCGGTACTCGTTTCCTTTTCTTTGGAAATTTTCATTTTCAAATAAAATATGCAAAATGTCGCTTTATAATTTATAATTTTATAACAAAGGAAAACAAATTTAAAATGTTTTATCGCAAGTATCATCTCATTTATATATCAAAGATGACAAAATTTTCAAATCGTTTAAAACTAAAATGACATTTCTAATTTTGTGAAATTTACTTATGTTAAAACCTGATTTGTCATATGTTTTTTTTTTATGATAATCAAATCACATGCATTGTCTGGGATAGAATTAGATGAAATTAGCATATAATATTGACTGGCATAATGACGGGGTATATGGGTTTTTACAGTACGTATGATTCAATGGGCGCGATGAAGTCACCGCAGCCGACCGGCTCATGCGCCGGCTAAGTCTTGGATTTTCTGACTCAGGAGCCGTACCACAATATGCATGTCATCTGCATTATAATCTGGGGTGCCATACGGGGGTATTAGATTCAATACCATATAGGTATTTTCTTTTTTGTCTGGGGCTTGGATAAATATATTTTTCTAATTTACACAGTCACTATGATATTTATTTTACTTGACTGACTGGCATATTCATGTGAATGTTATGTGGACCCTGCAGGGGCAATGCACGCCTGTTTTTGCCTTTGCCAGCTGAGAGGCACTATGGGGAGATTTAATGAAATGGGTATTTCATAACTGCAATATGTTGTTCTTTATACAATTACTCGACAAATATAGCTTCCGTACAAAGGAAAATATCGATTTGATTAATTGAAACTGTTTTATAAATAGTAATTAAAACAAAATGGCTTGTAACATCATACAGTAAATATAGGTGACAAAACCGACAAGTGATATATTGAGGAGGAAGACAATTATCGTGAAAACGATTTCCGTTCTTCCTCCAATCTGTATATCTGAGATATTCCTCTTATCTGAAACCAAATCGATACCGAGCGGTGTTAGTGAGTCTAAGAATGGCCCGGGGGTGATGATGTGTGGTTCCGGTTGAGTGGTGTTATTTTGCTTGTTGGAGAGCCATTGATATCAATTACCTGTGTAGGGACATGGCTGAAGGCATGTTGCTATACAAAATACACACATGTATACACACACGTGTATCAGCTGAGGACACAGAATCCGGTCAGATAAACACGATATAGAATTTACTACGACACTTTATAGGTAGGATGAATACATTAAAATATTTAAGAAAGGGGGTTGTATCAATTCAAGGGAAATTACCTACGTTTGAAAGGGTTGTGTTTGGGACCGTTAATAAAGGAGTATTTCGGTTTAATAAGGCTGATTATCACTTACGCTGACAGGGGAAATTTTGTCTGGTTTTCGGCCCGTGGGAAACATCCTGCTTCTGGACCTCAACGATACTAGGCATTGGTGTTCATTAGTATGATTATATGTTTAAGCCATATCAGTGTTGTTTGTGTTGAAGGCATTCATCGTTTGTTTACTAGGACTGTTTATAGATGGTGACTAAGACACTAATCGTTGACATATAAGAGATCTTTAGAACGCGCCAAATTATACCTATCATCATTAATTCCTCAAGGTCTTTGACAGGCGTTCTTAAAAACCACGAACCATGTACGCGATAAATAAATTGCGTCCCTCTCTATTTTTAACAATTAACTTTTGCTAGCTACGTTTTCTAGCCATGATAGAGGAGATCAGACTACTTTTTCAAGCCTCACTTGGGAACACGGAATTTTCTATTCAATAAATGGTTTTTATCAACACCCGACAAAAAACCATCGCCAAAAATTATATGAATAAAGATATATTACCAGACTACAGTCAGTGACCTTTCAATATTGCCTAAAACACAAACCAATCTGTTATATGTAGTGTGCACAACAACATGATTGTGTTAATATTATACTGTAAACACAACGCTATGTTTTGTTTTCCTATTCGGTGACAGTCCCGTAAAGTATCAAATTTATTTTTCACTTTCGACCTTTTTGTTTACCATCATGTGATTTTGATTTGGAACACGTGACCGAACATTATGTCACAAGACTGTCCTTGGCACACGAGCTTTTATTTTCACCATTAACATATATTCCGAAATTTCGAAATCCACGGTATTGTTTTCAGATCTTTTAAAGCTGCAAAGTGCAAAACAAACGGAGCTTATAGACAAAAAAAGGGAAGTTAAATCAAAAGCAAGGTCTGTTTATCGATTATTTTACAGGGATTTGTATGTTGTCCCCATCTGGAGCCTCGCATTGCAAAAGAATTACTGAAGGGCCCAAACAATGTCATATGTTTCGGCGATTTCCTACCTTTTTACTCAGCATCTCGTCCTGTTACCATAGAAACCTTTTTTTTCTGAAGTTTTCTTTAACTTAGTTATGCAATAAAAAATGTTCACAGATGGCAAGCGAGTTTGTCCTTAACAGTGGTCCCCTGTCTCGTTCTCTTGTTACCCCTCCCCCTCCCCCCTCCTCCTTACATATAATCATCAAGTCCAGTGTTTAGCGTCCCCGTCTCTCTCTTATAACCCCGGGCGTCCCTCCCTCCGTCCTTCTCATTACTAATGCTTCTCCCCCATTACATTATACATAATAAATGGGGTTATACAATTTGTTAGCATTTGTAAATAGGTTAATTAACTCAAAACAGGTTCTCTACTTGAATATCCAGATGTGAAAAATTTCACTGACTGAACCAAAAACATCTGTTTACAACTGGTATGTAGGGTAGCTTGACTGATATTTGACACCAGCTCTATACAAGCAGTCTTGACTCAATTTCCGAGCGATTATGACATAGAAATGTGTCCTTGACCGCCTATTTCAGTCTTAGAAAGCGTTAGTCATAATTTGGCTTCATAGCGTTACTCATTTGGATGTTACGGGCTACTACCCAATCAGTCCAAAACGTATATTGAAGATCGATATTGGGATTAGTCATAGATACAGCACATATATATATATATATATATACTTTCATATATATATATTGCTCACCTTGGCTGTCCACCAGAAAGTGGACATGCCCTTATATGGTAGTCTGATCACATTATGACGGACAGATAAATTTGTCACGTCGAGAATTACACGAGAACATGCTTGCAACGTATGACTCAAAAATGTGTATATTTACAGATGTGCTCGGGACACTGAAGAATCGAGTATAAAATCTTGTGTGGAAACCATTTCTGTAAAGTGTGTTTTGTGTTTGTATCCGTGTTCACTTTTCTAGCCTCCTTGTTAATTTCTACATCTGCGGCATTGCGAGCTTCATATCATTAAAGTTTTGACAAGATAACACGACCCTTTATGATAGTATTTTGACAACTGCGTAGTTTTTGTTTGGTTTTTGAGGGAGGGAGGTGGAAGGGATAGCTAGCTTTTGGTTATGATGACGTCATTATATTCCGTTCGTTTCTAACAAAACGTCTGCTTGAAAAAAAAAAAAACAAATAAAAAACAAAACAAAGGTGATATTTGTTTGTAATTGTATATACAGGAAAATAATTCTGCACTATTTTTGAAAACTTGATGACATCGTGGTATTGGAAATGTCTACCTTTATTTACTACTTTGGGAACGGGATGCATGGCTTTGATTATGCGGAAGGTGCCTTAACCCTAAATCTGAGATGATCAATATTTCGTAATAATTAGTATGTTTCTGTTTCCCTGTGTCATATGTAGAAGCACAGTCAGCAAATTGTATACTGTAAACACTGTCATACACAGTTTTTGACAATTTGCTAGTTTTGGAATTTTAATGTTCGGAGCGGGGAACCATAAAGGGATTGCCATTAGGAATGGGGGTCCTATTCGGCCAACAACACAATAATACATTATAATTGACAGACGTATAATGTCGATTATTTTATTAAGTGTATTTATTCCTGTACGGACTAATTGGCTATTTTGTTATCTGTATTAGTTACATTTCCGCTTGAATTGTCGCTAAAATACAACGAGAGAGCATTAGATAATCCCTGGGAGATTCAGTCCCCGAACATCACCAATGATAAGACACCTGATGTTTTACAACCAAAGAGGTACTGAAATATTTATTTGTGAACAAGAGGAAGGATTTAGGCCAGACTACGCGTACAGCATAATCACCGATAATGGGAAATTTATGTTTCATACAGACATAAAATTTGGCACAGAAACAAATGTATCGTAACACGCTAGTATTCAGTAATTTCAACCAGAGAACTATGAATATGCGATCAGATAGTTATTGATCAGACGCACAGGGGCCTGCAAATTAAGATGCAGATAGTTATTGATCAGACGCACAGGGGCCTGCAAATTAAGATGCAGGTAGTTAATGGTCAGACGCACAGGGGCCTACAAATTAAGATGCAGGTAGTTAATGATCAGACGCACAGGGGCCCGCAAATTAAGATACAGATAGTTATTGATCAGACGCACAGGGGCCCGCAAATTAAGATACAGACGCACAGGGGCCCGCAAATTAAGATACAGATTGTTATTGATCAGACGCACAGGGGCCTGCAAATTAAGACACAGATAGTTATTGATCAGACGCACAGGGGCCTGCAAATTAAGACACAGATTGTTGTACCGTAAAATCAAAACAAAACGTTATGTCAATATTATGTCACATTAAGGTGGAATAGAAATGTCGAAAAGCTTCCCTGTTCTCGTAGCACAACGACATCAAATTTCCCTTCGTTTTTCAATGGAAAGAACCGGACGATGAGACAGACGTTTTCGCCTCCATTTCTCAGTTTATTGTTTTTATCATCTTTTTTTTTTGTT